CTGGAATCTGAACTTCACAAGGACAAGGATGTTTGTATGCTACTTCATTGGTATACCCCAAGCACTCAGAACAGTGCCTGGCAGGTAGTAGGAGCTTAGGAAATCTTTATTGAATAAAGAAATTGTCTCCATTCTGTGAATGAGAAAACTAAGACTTAGAAGAACATGTTTCTTCAATGTACCAGCCCCAAAGAGGCAGATCTGGAGTTACCCTGAGACTGAGAGCTGCATTATTTAAAAAAAATATATATTTTACTATTTTTAAAAGATATTTTAAATACTTCAATATAATTTTAAAATATTTTATTAAAGCATGGCCTACATACAGAAAAGTGCACAAATCATATATGTTCCACTTGATGGATTTTCAGAAAATGATCACACCTGTGTAACTATCACTCTGAAAAAGAAACAGAACATTACTAGTGATCCAGAATCTCCTGGGACCCCCTACTCTGGGGGCATTAGAAAAGTAACTACTACTCTAACTTTCAATTAATTAAGTGTTCAATTAGTTAGAGATTAATTTTGCCTGATTTAAAACTGTATATAAATGGAGTTGTATGGAATATATTCTTGTGTTTTGGTTCATTCACTAAAAATTACACTTGTGAGACTCATATTTTCACATATAGCTGTATTTTATTCATTTTTATTGCTTTATTATATTCCTCTGTGAATATGTGAAAATTTAGTTACCCATTCTATTGGTGATGGGCCTTTTGTTCTTTCTAAACTTTGGCCATTAGGAATAATGTTGTATGTATAATGAACATGTTGTATATATTGCACACATGTGAACACATTGTTATACATGTCACTCATTTTTGTTGAGTATATACTTAGGAGTAGGATTGCTGAGGACATGTTATTTATAGAGTTGTCCCTATGTATCTCTGGAGGATTAGTTCTCCCCACCACACCAACATCTGCAGATGCTCAAGTCCCTTGCATGAAATGATGTATAATGGGTATATAACCTATTCACAACCTCTTGCATCCTTTAAATCATCCCTACATTACTTATAATACTTAATTCAATGCAAGATGGGAACAGTAGTTATACTGTATTATTTAGGGGATAATGACAAGAAAAAAAAGTCCATGTATGTTCAGTACAGTTGCAGTTTTTTATGAATATTCTCAATTTGCTTGTTGGTTGAATCAATGGATGTAGACCTTGTTATATAAACAGAGGGCCCTAGGCTGAGGATGCAACTCAGTGGTAGAGTGTCTGCCTGGCATGCACGAGGCCCTGAGTTTGATCTCCAGCACCACAATACAAACCAACAAACAGAAGAAAAGAAAAGAGGGCCCACTGTATACATAATGTTCAATTTTAGTAGATCCTGTCAAATAATTCTCCATACCCTCTCTGGACCTCAATTGAGAAGCAAGTTATTTATCCCTGTGTTTAAGAGTAAGAGATTCATAACAAGCTATAATGGTGGGGTACACGCTCTCACAGTGATAACACAGGTGGCAATACTGGAAGCCTTGGCACCTGTGTGATGATTAACTTCATGCTTCGATATGATTGGCCAAGACGATGCCCAGAGAGCTGGAAAAGCAATATTTCTGGGTTTATCAGTGAGGTATTTCTTGAAGAGATTAACATTGACTCAGTAGATGGGTAAAGGAGATCTGTCCTTACCATTACAGGTGGACACCAAAGGCAAACTCTTCCCCCCTCCTTAAGCTGGGCCATCCATCATTTCCTGTCCTTGGCTGTAGAAGCTATTGATTCTCAGGCCTTCAGACTTAGGAACTTAAATTAACCCCCATTGTCCTAAAAAATTTTCTCTCTGGCCCTTAGGCCTTTGACCTCGGGCTGGGAGTTATACCATCAGCTTCCCTGTTTTCAGGCCTTTAGATTCAGACTGAATTGTACCACCTGCTCTCTCAGGTCTCCAGGCAGAGCATGGGACTTCTCAGCCTCTACAATTGGATGAACTGATTCCCATAATGAATCTATGGATTCTATTTTCTGGAGAACCCTAGTTAATATAACCTGTGAGCCATTTTTGGGAAGACTTGATAAGGTGCCTTCCAATGGAGTTCCAGAGATGTATTCCTTTGACAAACACAGGATCTCCGTCAACAGTTTTTTTTTTTTCCCCATTACTCTGTCTATAGAGGTCAGTTGGTAGGTTGCACCTAGAATAGAATGTTTTGATGCACACATCATTCATGCTTTGAAATGAAACAACATTATCTGGCCTACAAATGCTCTGCCAACGAGTGGCCATGGAGAGTAACTAGAAATGGTATAGACACTTTGCAGCTGGATCATTTGGGGAAAGTCCTGATCTTTCTTTTGTAGTAGATGCCACGGTATAAGAGCTATGAGATGGGTACCTGGCCATTCCAGTCCAGTTTCTGTACAACCCTATCCAATTTATCTTTTTTAGAATTCCATTTTGAAGTTTCTCTATCTTCTCTGATTCTAAGTAATGTGAGCCGCAAAACATTTATGAATCAATAAGGCTTTACAACTATTAATAGACAAAGGTAATCCAAGTTTAAAAATAAATCTTTAGAAACTCTTGGCCAAAAGACATAGTATCATTTTGGTGCCCTAGATTCAGTTTCTGGTGAAGGCCTCCTTGCTGGCTTACAGGTAGCCATCATTTTGCTGTATCCTATATGGTAGAAGGAGCTCTCCAGGGTCCCTTTTATAAGGACATTAATTCCGTTTGTGAGGGCTCTCCCCTTGTGATCTAATCACCTACCAAAGTCCAACTATCTAATACCATCACACTGTGGGTTACATTTTTAACATGAATTTGAGCAAACACAAATATTTTGCCTACAGCAAGTAGTGAGAGGAAATATTGGGTTTTTTATTTGTTTATTTTTAAAACAATTTTCTATAGTCTGGAAGTACTCAAAAACATAGTGAGAACTGATACAAATACAAACAGACTTTTGAGAAGTGAGACTACAGATTCAGAAGAAGCAACGTGTTTGCTACCTGAGTCAAAAATAAAGAATTTTTGCTACATGTGTTAACAGCAGACAGCATCACCCAAGATCTTTGTTTTTTAAGTCATTAACTTTAATGTACCTTGTATCAAAACCTCATGCTCAATACACAAAAGAATGTCTATCAAACACATTCTCTCAGCCTCACTGACCATTCCAGATACTGCAGAAGTGAAAGGTCCACCCTGGTTCCTGTGGATGCCCTTCTCTTCAGGGGCTTCCTGCCTCTAGTCATCCCTAATACAGAGACATGAGGAGACTCCACTTTGCAATTACACCTGTGCAATCCAGGAATGTGGGGAAGACAAAGTTCCAAGAGGAACTCCTCTCAACCAGTGGAGGACAGGAGTCAAGGATAAGTAATTCTTGTTTGCCCCCCAGACAGATGGTTCTGAGTCTCAATTCAGAAGGCCACCACAGTGCCCAGTGGCAATATGTTTAAATGAAAATATCTAGTTTTTAAAAATATCATGGATAAGATCAAGCACATTACAAAGTCACATTATGGATGCATCAATTAATTTATCCTCCTAATTTGAATGTTTTGAAGACCAAATGTGCCGATACATAGAAAATGATACATAGGGTAGAGAATTTTGGTTAACATATTCCTTATTTTCTCTGCATTTTAATTTCTTTAAAAGTCTCAAAATAATAGTAGTAACTTATTAACTTAAAATTTTACCATTTATGGTTCAGAATCATTGACAGATCTTAGAAAATATACTAATATATTTTCTTATATCTTATAATCAACCAATCTCTGTTGATTATAAGAGTTTATAGAAGAAATATGGTAATAAAACATTATCCATTTAAGTAGAGTAACTGTAGATGTTCATAATTTTTAATATTATACAAGTTCCAAAAGTATAAGAACTAGTTTATAAAATACTGGTGTTTAAAATAATCAACTAGCTGAATACTCATGTTTACATTGACATATTCTTGAATATTAGTGCAAGTAATAATAATTGGAAAATTTAGAAATTCTACCTTGTTTATCTTTTCCAAAGATTAAAAATTAAATTCAAAGTCTTTCAGAAATTAAATACCACATTTGCATTTTTACTTATGTAAAATCATCTTTTAGTCATCTTTTAACTAAAATTCAAGGTATAGTTTATTTTATCAAAGGGTTTGCCTTGATAAATAATATAAGAGCACATAAGTTAACATTTAATTTCTATTTATTTACTTTTCCCTGCTGCATCCTTTGTTTAGAGCCCCACCTGTAAAACCCCTAATTGTAAGGCCATTGTTGCAAGAGACACTGTGACAAGATGGAGGCGGAACTCCATTTGATAAAGGTTGTACAGTAGCCAGATTTGATGGCTTTTACTTCCTTTTTTTCTCTTTCCTCCCCAGTTCCAAATCACAGCAAATTCTGAAAGAGCAGCTAATTTCAAAGGTAATCTGCTTTACCCAGCCCCACTCTTGCTCAGGGGGCTTCTGTTACACTTATTTGAAACAAATCCCTCAACTGAAAAGGATCACATGAAATACACATTGGCTTCTAGAACACAGTCTTCCCCCTGAATGTGCTCATTCTCAGGGGCACACGCTGAAGTAGAATTCTTGGAAGCTTCTTGGTCAAACAAAACCGACATCCTTAGGACAAACAGTGTCCAAGTTCTAAGGGAAGAATTGCTTGAGCTGAAACAGTAGGTACTCCCAGTAGGCCCACACCACAGAATGGGGCCACAAAAGTCCTTGTCCTGTGCCATTGGGAAAGCTGAACTAATTAAAATACCAGAGACAGACTCAGCAGAAGCCATCATTTCTCTCTTAGAATTAAGACAACTAAATACTTCCAGGTATTTCCCTAGAAAATGAAAGAGAGAGAGAGGGCGGGGGGGAGAAGTATTTGGGGGATAGGCTGGTTGAGGTGGCTGTGTGCAGGAGAGGGTAGCAGAGGTCCTAATCACAGAGAAGTTTTGAGTACAGGTTAGAAAATACTCTGGTGTTCTTTTGAGCCAGCAGACTAAAGTGTCCAACCCTTCCCTGAAGGCTGACACTTAGCAGCTCCTCCAGGATGTGTGGCTGCTGAGTTTGCTCATTAGCATTTCATAGTCTGCAGTAAGCAAGTGCAGCCACCAGGGGGCAAGATGCACCTTTAACCCTGGCCTTACTGAATACCAGAGGGTCCTGGTCTGGTCCTTGAAGGTGCATCTGGAACTTCACATCTCAGGTCAGTACCTTGTTTCCCTTGACTTGTGAAAGAGGTGGATCATTAAGATAAAATAAGGGGAAGACACCCTGGAAGAGACTAAAACTAAGAAGCTGAAGAACAATGTCAGTGTTCTGTGTACGTGTTGTCATTCACCCATAGAGTCTCCACGTACTTTAACAAGGACCAAATGACTTTAGAAAAAGGAAACTGGAAAGGAAATGAGGAAACGTGGGGATTCTCAACAGAATTCATTGTGCTGACTCTTTTTGTGTTCATTAATTTATACCTGGGTCAGGGCGTCCTGTGCCAGACCCGCCAAAGGAAATCCCACAATCCTCAACTTCGGGGAAGCACCTGTGTCAAAGTTACACTCAGGCCAATTAACAGCATGGTTCAAGGGCTTCCTTATATTTATTTTATTGAGTGTAGTTGGTATGCTATACCTGTGGGTTTTACATCTGTGGATTCAACCAGCAGCAGTTAAAAATTCTGGGAGAAAAGAAACGAAAGGAAAGGAGGAAGGGAGAGAGGGAGAGACAGAGATAGAAAGCATGTGCACATAAAATACGAAAAAAAATTATGTCTGAACTGAAAGTGCACAGATATTTTCTAGTCATTATTCCCTAAATAATACAATGTAACACTATACATAGCATTTACATTGTATTATTATAAGCAATCTAAAGATGATAAACAGTATACAGTCAGGTATAATGGCACATGCCTTAATCCCAGAGATTCAGGTGTCTGAAGCAGGAAGATGGCAAGTTCAAGGCCAGTCCCAGCAATTTAGGAGCTCTAAGCAACTTTGCAAGACCCTGTCTCAAAATAAAAGAATAAAAAGGACTGGGGTGAAGCAAGCCAGAGACCCCCACCCAGAAGACCCTTGCCATAATTAAGCTTCTCCTCTTGTCAGATCAGCAGGGTGTCTGCAAAGCTTACTGTGGTTGAAGTTTCCTCTTTCTTGAAAATGCCAGGTTTGCACACAAAAGGTGTGAGTTAGTCTGCAAGCTTGTTGTAAGCAAAGATATTATCTCTATTTTCTTGGTAAAAACTTGTGTTGGTCTAGAGGATGGAAGAGAGAGCACTTGTTATGTAAAACCTCCAAGGCCCTCCTCCCACTGGATATAAAGTTCAAAGAATTTCCAAAATCTTTGTTCAGAGAAAGAATTCTTAGGCGAGAGCCACCTCTGAACCCTGCAGTCAATAAACTGCTTCTTGAAAATTCCTCAGGTGTCCAGCCTCTCCTGGCCTACTTCAGGGGGTCTGTCTGGGGTTGTAGCTTAGTGGTAGAGTGCTTGTCTAGCACATGTTACTGAGTTCAATCCTCAGCACCACCTAAAAATAAATAAAATAAAGGTATTGTGTCCATCTATAACTAAAAATATTTCTTTAAAAAAGGGGGGCTGGGGATGTGGCTCAGTGGTAAAGTGCCCTGGGTTCAATCCCCAGTACCCCACCACCACCACAAAATAAAAGTATACAGCAAGATTCATAGGCTAGTGAAAATGCTGCTCCATTTTATAGAAGGGACTTGAGCATTTTGGGGGTCAGAGGTGGGTTCTGGAACAATTCCCCTGCAGATACCAAGGCATGACTATAATAGAATCCTCCAAACCTTGATTAGAAGTCTCAGTATTGAAGGGTTTTTTAAAATCTTCCTAACTGCCAATTTTGACCTAATGTGAATTGCACATTATTGGGACTGATCTTCATATTTATTTTGTAACTCAGCAGGAACGTTGAAGCTATTAAACCAGAACTTAGGTTTTTTTTTTTTTCCATCTAAAAATGTTTAGAAAAAAGGGCTTAGATTTGAAAACAAGAATAGTGTTTAAATTTGTATTAACAACTTAGTTTATTTCTCAAGGTTATTTACACATTCACCATTCTATTTTATTCTTAAAAGAATATAAAGTTTACCTTTTACCCAAAGGCTTTAATACTCAATTGAGTAGTTTCATTTTTTTATCACTTGGAAGTTTTAGTAGAAACTGTTTAAAAAACTCATCCTTTTGAAACTAATTTCTTTAATCTTTTTAAATGTCTTAACATAAATTATAGAATGCCATTTACAGGCCAAGTTTCTTTGTAAACTCAATGTTCTGCTATTTGGAAGGTTTTCTTTTATTGTTCTCTCACCCTGGAGGCCTTTTTATAAAGTGCTGGCACATTTGAAGCATTGGAGGTGTGGCTTGGTTTCTTAATTTTTCCCACAGGGAGACATTGAGTCCCTTTATCTTAGATTTATATAAGCTCTCAGTGGTATCTTGTAAGCAATATAAATAGAAATTTTACAGGGGTTGGTTGACATGATAGTTGTATTTTCTGCAAATCTACAGAGTAGGCCTAATTAATTCCAAGCTGTCTCTGATATCAAACTCATTTCTTTGTCGGCAGGATATACAGACCAGCCCTGCAGAGCAAGCAAGCTGAAATATCTACTGTTTCCAAAATCTCCTAGAATTCCCCACCCCCATCCTCTCCGTTCATACCAACTCAAACCAATGCATCTGGACCTTTGCACAGGGCTGGGAGTCTCTCACTCAACAACAGAAGAAATTATTACACGACTGCAAAATTGGAAGATCAAACAGGAGAATTTTTCCCTTAAGAAAAAGAAAGAAGAAATCTTGCAGACGTCCAGAAAAAGTCACTCAAGCTTCCAGGAAGCAACATACACATATTTATCCTCTAGGGGGCAGGAGTTCTCTGTTTCTGGTGGAAAACACTTCACTGGTCCGGAGTTTTGCCTCTTGGAATGCTAGGGAAACTTCACTTAGCTGGGTCTTAATTTGAACAGAAAGAAAACATTCCAGCTTCGAATTAGAGAAAAGTCTAACCCAGAAACTAGAAGTACTCATTCCAGAAGACAGAGGCACAAAGCTCTTTCAATCTGCTCTGACTGCTGGTGAGCTCACAGATGCAGCTCCACATGTGTGCTCTCAAGAATGCCTGGCAAAAGCCACAAGATACAACCATCCACGACAGCAGGAAGCAGCATGGCAGGTTTTTGCTTCGGATGCCCTGTTGATGATCTAGCCAGCTGTTCCTTGATGCCCTTTTCTGAGCTGGTTAGAAACATCCCAGAGATAAGCAAGACCCAAATAAATTGTCTGTCACTGCCTGGGTTCTCTTTCAAAAACAGTGCCAAACACAAGGAGCTGCCTTCAGAAAACTCGTTTGGGAGATGATTGCAGGGTGCAAGAGTGAGGAACTTGTACTGTGCCAGCCATTCCTGTCTGCTGGGGACTGGGGAGTTTGCTAAGATTTGAGACTTTCACTGCTAAAATTGGAGAAGTCTCAAATAAATGAGGGATGAGTTGGTTGTGCAGGAACTGGGTGCTGTACTCAAAGGAGGTAAGCTGGGCAAGGCTGGGCTCATGTGTTATTAGATCCCACAGCATAGAGGGCACCTCAGAATTGTATGCCCGCAGGATGGACGTGGGGAGATTTGTCCACTGGTTTCCATTCTCCATTAGTCAGTTTTGCTCCTTGGGGGCGTTCATTCTGCCCACACTCAGGGTTCCTGTGCCTGAGTGCCTGTGAACTCCCACAGGCATTTCCCACTGAGGCTTCAGAGAAGCCCTGGGTGGAAAGTGAGAGAAACACAATACAACTGAGGAATAGCATTGTGACACCTACACAAACCCGATTGCTGCAGCAATGGCATTTGGACTGATGGGGTGAAGTGGGCCCAAGAAGCGTCCTATGCATGAAGGTTAATTTCACCTTCTTTTGGTTGGCTTATCGTTGAGCTCAGTATGGGATCATCAACCTCTGCTCTTAGCTTCCAGTTAATTTAAATGAAATAAAGTTCTCAGATTTTTTATTTAAATAAGAAATCCAGCAATGTAGTTTCATTTCTCCTTGTGTATATGGAGGAAGGTGCCGTGCCAATGATCCCCTTCTCACTAAAAAAGGAAAATTTGATGAGACAAGCAATCAAATCACATGCTTGTTGGAGATTAAAAAGTCTTACTAGCCCTGCACAGTGATGAATGCCTATAACCCCAGAGACTTGGGAGGCTAAGGCAGAAGGATCTTAAGTTTGAGGCCTTGGCAAATTTGCAAGATCCTGTCTCAAAATTAAAAATAAAAAAGGCCTGGGGTTGTAGCTCAGTGGTACGGTGTCCCTGGGTTCAATCCCCATTACAAATAACAACAAAAAAGCCTTACTTTTGGTGTTACATAATACAACCTGGTTATGTCTTACAAACATCACTTGCAAAATTCCTTTTTGGAAATCATATTTGCAAGGATGATTAATGTGTATTTTCACTTCCATAATTCTTTCAAACCTTTTATTATGGATAATTTTAGAAATAAACATAAGTAGAAGAGCATAATGAAGAGCATCACTCTTTTTCCATCTCCTTCAGTTAAGAAGGCAAATGGCAGCAAGCAATAGAAAGCCTATTTATATGATCCTAAATAAATAACAGCACTGTTGGGATCAAATCACATAATGTCTAGACATATATAGTCCAGGGCTGATGGAGAATTGAATAAAAATCTTCAAAAATTAAGCACCTTTTATTGTTTAATACTTTCATCTTCAGAATGTGATTACAAAGTGGCTGCCAAGCCTCCAAATTTCATATCCTTGTTCCAGGAAGGAAGAATCCAGAAGGACAAAAGTACCAGATGATGTGCCAAGGGCCTCAGGTTTCCTTTGAAAACCTTTCCCTGTGGCTCTGCCCAGCAACTTTTACTGAGATCTCTCTGGCTAGGACAGAATCACCCGGTCTCTTCTGGCTGCAAGGGAGTGAGAAAATCAAGTAATTTTAGCTGGGGACAAATCCACCCTGGATTAGATCAGGATTCTGCAGTCAGGAAGAAGGAGCCACTGTGCTTTGCCCCTGCTTTTCTCTATGCTTCAAATGCCTTCCTCTTCCTTGACCACTCAGGTTATTCCTTTATTCAACAAATATTTATTTAACATTCACTGTGTGCCGGTCTCAAGGCCAGGTCCTGGGTCTTGAAAGAGAAATAGTGTTTTGTTCTTGAAGCTGTCCTGGTCTAACATAGACCTAGAAGTGACAATGTGTGATATCTAAACTTGATAAATTCAGAGTCACACAACACATTATTTAAAGATGTAGAAGTGACCCCATGAAAGACATAAAATCAGAATTCTTCAAAGGGGTTGGTTGCCCCTGGAGACCAGCCTGGAGGGGGGAGGTGTAGAGCTGTAGGTTTTCGATACCATTATATACTCCATGCTCTTCTGTGCTGCTTGGGATTTTTTTTTTAACCACATACCTACATAATTTTTAAAAAATATTTTTTAATTCTTAAAAATACTTCTGTAAGTCTCTTTGTGCAGAGAGAATTGCTGCCATTGGGGTTATGTTTTCATGAGGTTCTGTATTTAGGATTGCTGGTACAAATTAAAGAGTTTAAATGGAGTGATGCGTGTAAACCAGCATGCACCTCACAGGCCCTCAGTGCACATTAGCAAGAAACAAATAAATCACCCCATGTTTTGTCCAGATTCCAGCGCCTTCCCCAGAGCTGCCATAGGGAAGTGTGGCTCTCTTGATGACATTCCACTGGGTCTTTTGCAAATACAAACGGTATTGTAGTGAGCGGACTTGAGCCAAGGTCAACTCAGCTTTTGGCAGTGTATATTTGGGACAGATTCCTAGAAATGCATGTCATTTTGCTAGATGTTGCCATGCTTGCCTTCCACAAGGATGAAACCATTTTCTGCTTCTCCCACCCTGAGTGAACATGCTTTTTTCTCTTGGCCTCACCAAGAGAGATTATTCCTTATCTGATGGGTAGAAGTGTTCTTTCAATGGAGGTTTCTAGATTTTTGTTTGTTTGTTTGTTTTGTACCAAGGATTGAACCCAGAGGTGCTTAACCACTGAGCCACATCCCAGCCCCTTTTTTATATTTTATTTAGAGACAGGGTTTCAATGAGTTGCTCAGGGCCTCACTATGTTGCTAAGGCTGGCTTTGAACTCATGATCTTCCTGACTCACCCTCCTGGCCGCTGGGATTACAGGCATGCACCACCATGCCCAGCTCAGTGGAGTTTTAATTTCCATTCTCTTCTCTGATACTTAACATTTCTCTTAGCCACTGTCCACTCTGAATTTCCTTTGCTCACCCACCACTTTAGCCAGTCTAGCTGCTTACCATTTACTCCAGAAGGCTCCAGCCTGTGGCTGCCTTGCCCTTGTCAAGACAGGTGTGCCTTAATTGCCCATTCATGTCATTACAGAGTGTAGAAGCACCAAAATGACCTCAGAAATTCCCTGAGCTGCAAACCTTCTCCTTCTTGCCTCCATTAAGGGTTAGATTTTTATGAAAATCAGGGTTGCCTGCACCCTGCCAATAGAGTAGATCCATGTTTGCCTCTGAACTGGAGAGGCAAAAGCATGGAGACCCAAAGGCATCCAGGAATCAGTTGTAGCTTCAAATCACATGGAGAATTCCCTTGTCCCTTGGTGGAAGAGATGCCCCTCATCCCAGAAACTAGGACTTCTCCATCCACCAGAACCTAAAGCTGGAGAAATACAAAACAAAACTATAATTGGGTCACTGGACATGATAATAAGAGGAGTGGCTTCTCCATCCACCTTTGGGTTCCTGGACCTCTGTATTCCAACAGGTGGAGACAGAATTCCCCTGACAGACATTGGTTCAATACATATTCCTCATCCTCCAAGACAGTGGGATAGAATCTTGACCCCCACAAAGTCAAGGCTAGCACCCCATCCACAAGATAGCACTTTCCCTACACCTTTCAGGCCAGGCTAATTCTAGGTGACATTCTATAGTAGATTCTGTGGGAATAAGCCCATTGCCACACCTTTGTCACCATCAAGCCAAGCCAGGCCTTAGGCAACCTCATCCTCAGGCAAAGCTCTCTTCCTTTCTTTGTTAGAATTCCAACTACTTGGGGCTGAGGCTATAGCTCAGTGGAAAAGCACTTGCCTTGCATGCGTGAGGCACTGAGTTCAATCCTCAGCACCACATAAAAATAAAGATACTGTGTGTTCATCTACAACTAAAAATATATATATAAAAATATTTTAAAAAAAGAATTCCAACTACTTGGTAAATGCATTGGAATAGTATCCTCCACATGGCATAAGCTGCATCCTAAATCCAAATACCCCAACTGATATGCATATCTTGCTTAATTAGGCAATGAGAGGCAGAGTCCTGACCCAGGAAACCAGAAACGCTGTCAGCATCTACACGATGCTGGCACAACCACTGCAGCCAGAGAAGGCAAACCACAGTCAGAATGACTTTAAATTCCTATAGGGAGCAATCACTCTTCCCTTCAGGTTAGAAGGGTCCGATGTAGTCCACTTGTTTGCTCTTGTCCTGGGATGGAACTGCACTCTGGACTCTGTCGCTGGCACGTTAGATAATTGGCAGAGGCAGCTGCAAGACTGGCTTCAGTGAGTGGGAGCCATGCTGTCGGGCCAGCGCATAGCCTCCATCCCTTCCAATGTGACTCCTCCATTCATGGGTCAGTTGCTGGCCCTGGAGTGGCTAAATCAGAGGCTGGCTGCCATCTGCAAAGAAATTGTCCTGTCTGCAAGCCTGTGGAGCACTTCCTGAGATGGATGCTTCCTAGAGAACACAGATGTGAGGCACAAACATCTGCACATTCAGTGCCCATCCCTGTAGGTCCATCCACTTGCCTCTATCCCAGTGCTCCATTGAGGCAGTTCTCAGGCCCTTGGAGAGCCACGGCTTAAGAGTAAGAGTCTATCTCTACTTTAGGTCACTTCTCACCCCACAGAATACTTACAACTAAATGCACTGCTATTCATCCACTAGTAGTATCTCCTTTCTATGCCACCTGGGGCTCTGATGGCAGTAGTCTATTTTCCACTCACATCAACCTACAGGTGAGACTACCCATGCATAAGCCAGGCTGGGATGCTTTCTCCCTCCATCATCTTGTCATAGGGAAGACCCAGGAGGCCATAAGTGTGAGCTGCAGGTGCAACAGATTCCATGAGCAGAGCTCTGAGACACCTGTAACTCATTTGTGCCTCAGGCCTGGATGTACCATTGCCATCTTGTGACAGATTGCTACTGAGCCTGACTGACCTTATCATGACTTCATGGCTGTAAATACTTAGCTCATGATGGACAGCTCCAGTCTCATAATTACTCCGTGTCTGTCCCTCAGTCAATCTCTGCGGGGCCCAGCAGCACATCAGAAGCTGCTCTTTGAATGCATAGTTCTCTGATGCAGAAGGCATGGTCTAGCTAGAGGTCTATGCCATGCATCTCCCATGGAGGCTAGCCAGAGATTCCTCCCATCTCCATGGATCCTTGTAACACTGCCACACAACCTTGTTCTCAGGCAAAGCTCTCTTGCTTTCTTTGTTAGAATTCCGACTACTTAGTAAATGCATTGGAATAGGATCCTCCACATGGCATATTCTGCATCTCAAATCCAAATACCCCAACTGACATGCATACCTTGCTTAATTATATAGTGCAATAACTTGTTCTTTACCTTAGAAGGGAAATCCCAGCATATCTCAAAGTTGGATTCCTAAAACCTTCACTTATATAGTAGGTTCCTGAATCTTTATAAGGTTTATCTCTCATCCTCTGACACATGTATCTTATTAGAATATTCAGAGTAATGCCATATTCCTGTTTACTAGGTCCAGTTGGTTTGATGACTTAACACAGTGGACCAGAGCGATTTACAGAAAGTCAAGATGACCAAGGTCTTGGAAGACTATATTGTGACAGAACTTTCCAAAGGTCCCAAAGTACTCTATGCTCTCTTTCCACCATTACTTCATTGCGCATGCACCTGCTTCTCTGGAGGATTCTTCCCAGCCCCTTCTACTTATATTTAAAAACCATTTCAATCTCATATGTCACTATTTCTGGGCAGCCTTCCCTAACTACCCCCACTAGGCAAGTTTAGCTTCTCCTCATTCCACCTCTTTCCATGCTCAGACAGACCATCAGAGCACACAGCATTAAGATGATTGCTCTACCTCTGCCAGTCTTTCACCCCTCCCCACCAGACCAAGTAGTACTGAAGGACACGGGCTGTGCCCTCTGTATCTGCAGCTATCAGTGTTTGAGTATGGTCCAGAAATTACAGCATCTCTCCAGGGACAAATAAATCTACCCTGGGTCCTGCCTGAGATGCTGAGATTTCAGAATGGCCAGAGTTAATGACAAGCCTGATTTTTCTCTCTCTCTTCCTTGTATAGAGTGTAATCATGCCAGCAATCCTGACTGATGGACTAATACACTTTTTGTCTCATTCTCAGACAGCTTTTCCTTCATCCCTTTAACTAGAGGCCAGAGAACCTCAATAGTTGGTTTCCCAGACTCTCTTGTGTTTGGGTACAGCCACATGACAAAGCATGGCCAGTAAAGTGAAGCAGAGGTTTTCTAGAAATTTCTGGGAAATCTTTTGCTTTCCTGAGCAAAAAGATCCATCCACTTGCCTCTACCCCAGTGCTCCATCCAGGCAGCTCTCAGGCCCTTGGACAGCCACGGCTCAGGAGTAAGAGT